GTCACGTTTTTTCGTCCCATGACGTGGCAGCTTGGTATTCGATATGAAAGCTCGACCGTTCAACATCATTCATGGCGCTGTAAAATTCCCAAAATACCCTCTTCAGCAAAGTGAACGCTTTTTCTGGCAATCCAAGCACTCATTTTTCGCCATTGTTTTGAAACTGTTTCACTACGATGCTGCTACACGCGAAGGACAAGGGTTTAGAGATGGTTAGACAAATGGATTCTGCTCATGAGACCGAGGTGAATCATAGGGTTTTTGGTTTCCCTAAAGACTCTGATTACCAATTTTATGAGCTCAACGAAGCTGATGATGAGAAGAAAATGGGTATGGCTTCGAAGGAGGACAAACAACAAGTTCCGGACTACAAATCGTTCTTATCAGAGTTCGACGACTATGTCGCAAACGAGAAAATCCGTTCTGGAGTTTCTAGGTCATTGCGCTATGGATTTGAAATGGGTGATATGGTATGGGGAAAAGTGAAATCACATCCATGGTGGCCAGGTCGTATATTCAACGAAGCTTTTGTTTCACCTTCTGTTCGTAGTATGAAGAAGATTGGTTACGTTCTGGTTGCTTTCTTCGGAGATAATAGCTATGGTTGGTTCGATCCTTCTGAGCTTATTCCTTTTGAGCCTCATGTTACAGAGAAATCTCACCAAACTAATTCGAGTAACTTTGTAAAAGCTTTGGAAGAAGCTATGGAGGAAGCATGTAAAAGGTCAGCTCTTGGATTGGCTTGTAAATGTCGGAATCCTCATAACTTTAGGGATAGTAATGTACAAGGTTACTTTGTTGTTGATGTGCCTGATTACGAAGTTCAAGCTGTTTACTCTTCTAAGCAGATTAAGAAAGCTAGGGATAGTTTTTCGTCTGCTCAAACTCTGTTGTTCGTGAAGCGGTGTGCATTAGCACCTCGAGAGTTTGGTTCAGAGAGTATAAAGTTTTACCAGAAGAAAGCAGCGGTTTACGCTTTCCGCAGGGCGGTGTTCGAGGAGTTTGATGAAACGTATGAACAAGCTTTCAAGGCAAAATCTGCATACACTTTAGTGAAGACACAAGAACCTAAAACACCTTCTCGAGGTAGCATCACCTTTCAGCGATCCTGGCTTTGTTTGAATATATTTGTGATACTTCAACTTCCTTTTTACGGATTTTATGGAATTATGTTGGACCTTTATCCTATTTTTCACAGAGATGTGATAATCTATGATCTCTTGAGTTTTGTTTTTTGTTTCTCAAGTCATATAGGCTATTTCTTGAGTTTGGGGACTCTGATATCCTTGAAAGTCCAAAAATCCTTGCAAGTTTGTTTTTTTGTAGAATTTATAGCTTTGAAGTTGTGTCATATAACCTTTATTGTTTGTTTTACTTTCATTGTTTGCGTGGTTGGAGTAAATTTCATCATTCCTCATGCATTGCTTATGTTTACAGCCCTCTTGAGTGGCTCACTGGTCATTGCAGAAGCTCTAGGCGACCCAAAGAGCTCTGAAAACGCTATGAAAGTAAAAGAGTCTACTACACAAGACAAATATCTTCCCAAAAAAAGAGAGGAATCTGGTGATATGACAGTGCATTTTGACCAGGTCCAAGCATCTTCTCAGCTTCAGGGCATTAATGGATCTTCAGCTGGGGATCATGTACTGCCGAGGAGAACTCCAAATCTCCAAACTCCAAGCGGTGATACTCCTGGAGAGGAATCTACGGTTTCAAAGCTCTCTTGTTATGAGGACATTGGTTTAGCTCAAGAATCAAAGGCGAGAATGGGAGAAAACGTTGCTCTATTTCCAGAGGATGAGATGTTTTCAGCAATGACCAAGCTTCAACAAGATGAGACTGGCAGGGGCACGCTAACTAGATCAACCGAAGGCTCTCTCCAGCCATTTATTGAGCGTGAATGTTCTGCAGGGGTTGGGATCAGGAAAGTCAATGTCCTGAAACGGTCTTCTAGTGAAATGAATTCCAAGAATGGTCCGAAGAAGAAACTGATAAAGAAGAAAGAGCCTAGGTTAGAGCTTAGCCGTGGCAATCCAGATAAGAGGAAAGCTTTAACTTTTGTGGAAGCTTGGGCCAAGAAATCATCACAATTAGATTCAGCAGAAAGACACTCCAATATGTTGACTGTGAGAAACTTTAAACTCGACGTTCTGCAGCTATTGAGTAATTTGCAAGCTCTCTCGCTTGACCCTTTCTCTGGCTTCTCGGATAGAAGTTCTATTAAAGCTGTAAAGCAGTTCTTTTTGCGTTTCCGGTCACTTGCTTACCAGAAAAGCTTGGCCAAGTCACCTTTCGCAACAAAACCGTCAAAATCTGCAAAGACTTTGAGCAGCAGCAATGAATCATCAAAGGCCGGGGAAAAACGCCTCTCATCTGGCCATCAACAAGATATCCCATCAACTAAGAAGCTAAAGAAAACTAGTCTGCTCAAACCTAAGGCTTCTGACAAGAAAACCAACCAAGAAGCAAAGAAGAGTTCAAATCTTGCACCTTTGATTCCTGGAAGAAACCAAAGTGGTCCCGTCTCTATCAATGCCAAACCTCAACCAGGAAAGAAGATGGCTCCATCTGCAAAGGTAATTGAGCCCACGATGCTGGTCATGAAGTTTCCCTACGGTACATCTCTCCCTTCAACCGCTCTGCTTAAATCAAGGTTTGGTCGCTTTGGACCATTGGATCAATCAGCCATTAGAGTTTTCTGGAAAGCCTCCATCTGCCGTGTTGTCTTTCTGTACAAACTCGATGCGCAGACTGCCTTAAGGTATGCATCAGGAAGCAACTCTCTTTGGCAACGTGAATGTGACCTACTTTCTCCGTGACGTGAAAGCTTCTTCTGCATCCGGAGATCATGAACTGAAGATGGCCAAAACAGATGAACCAATCATCGAACCACTGAGCCAGCGGCTAGAGCGAGCACCGCCAGTCCACCAGCCAAACATCCGGCTCAAGTCCTGTTTGAAAACTCCTGGCAAAAACGGTAATGGTAACCGCGGAACAGCACGAGTGAAATTCATGTTGGGTGGGAAAGAAACAGAGACAACATTTCCGGTTTCGGGTAGAAACAATGCTTCTTCATCATCATGTGTTGCAATGGAATTTGTTAGTAAGAACACTCAAAACATTGTTCCATCAACATTGCCTCCGATTCTTCCTCTATCTTCACAAAACTCGAAACCGAAGCATGTTAATAATCAAGTTGACCACGTCGAGCCACCACTAGACCAGTCGCAGGTGAACATATCAGAGGAGATGATGAAGCTGTTATTAAGGTGTAACGATGTTGTGGCTAACGTCAAGGGCTTGTTGGGTTACGTCCCATATCATCCCTTATGAAATACAACTGATATAGACAAGAGTACATTAAAAAAAACTCGAGTGATATGTTAGGAGAAATTTCGTGTCCTTGGGTATAATATTAGTATGGTTCCTCATTATAAAAAGGTATTAAAATTCAGAGTGAACCCTT